AATAATAATAATTATTATTATTATTATTATTATTATTATTATTATTATTATTATTATTATTATTATTATTATCATTATTATTATTATTATTATTATTATTATAGTAACAACAACAATATAACATACAAATTCAATAGTAAGAAAGATTTGGGGAACACAATATAATACATACAACAATATAAAACCAGTGAACATTTAAATAATTAAAAAACCTTAAAATACAGATAATATGAGGCTAAACAATTTATGTCATGAAAGTAAAACGGGAAAGAAAAAAAAACACTTTGAAATAACGAAATAATTCGTCATGAATGTGTTAAAAAAACAAAACAAAACAAAAACAAAACGAACAAAAAAAAACAAAAAAATAACGATTCAGAAAATTATAAAACTGCTGCCCGCGCCCGGTGGCGCTTCAGTCTTTGGCATTGATTTTTGCTCCTTTGCCGTTTTGGTCTATGCCTATTGCCGTTTTGGTCTATGCCTATTGCCGTTTTGGTAGTTATCCTTGCCGTTTTGGTTTATTGCCGTTTTGGTCACATGCCGTTTTAGTTTTTTGCCGTTTTGTCCAGAAACCATATCGACACTTGTGTAGGCCGAGGCTGGAGCTTTATGTTAAAAAGTAAGTTACATTTTGTGGCTAAATTGAAATGAAAAATATAGTTTCTATGATGTATGATGATGTTTTACTCCGCATCTCCTATTGGAAAAGCAAGGAGGCAGCATGGTTTCCCCATGGTTTTACTCTCCGGTGTTTGGCTTCGCTAGGGCTAGGCCTAGGTATACCAGGCCTAGGCCTAGGCCTAGTAGGTGGTAGGCCTGAATGCCAGTCAATTCGAGCGGATGCCAGTTCGAGCGGATGAATTTTAGTGCCAACTCAAGGGCGAATTTATCGTCGTCCTATTCTTGTATTTGTTTATTTTAAATGCAAAAAAATGCTCTGTGCACTAAAATTCTGAAATGTTTTTGGCACTTTTTGATAATTATTTCATGTTTGAATTACAGTCTTGGCAAATCTGACTACCAGATGGCCGCTATCAAGCACTTACATTTTAAAACTATAGAATTTCGCACGTTTCAGGTGAATTCACAATTTTTGTCTCCAGTTGTAGGCCCGTAGCCAGACTTCCAAGCAAGGGGGGTGGGTCTTTTTGTAGCCAAAGGTGACCTTTTTATACGGGTGCCTCCGCAACCTAATGTGTACCGTAGGCACATGCTCTATGGCATGTGCTGCTGGGGGGAGGGGGTTTGGGGGAATCCTCACCCAGGAAATTTTTTAATCTAGAGGCTGTGAATGATGGTGTTTTTAGCATATAAAAGTTAAGGCTGACACCCTTGCATATGCTATTAGTATCATGATTCAAAGGACACAGGACGAGGTGTCACTGCATGCGTCAACAAGGGTATGAGAATAAAAGGCATAATTAGGTGATGTCTTTGGCATTAAATCTACTCATTGAGTATGCTCGTCAGCTCGTTTGGCCTGAGATAGATCCACAGGCCACAGGCTATAGGTCTAGCAGCTCTATGAGAAAAATATTTGGCCTGGAAAAGGGTGACCCCAGCTGAGGTGGGGGGTCGTCCGACCCCCCTCTGGCTACGGGCCTGAGTTGGGGTTTTGTATTTAAAAAAGCAAATTGCGGTATTTGTAATTGAATTTTATAGTGTTGTAACTGTATTTGTAGATTTACGATTTAGGCCTATATTTGTCAATGAGAGTAACGATAATTGTTTGTTATTCACCATAGAAATTTAAATTATTTTTATGTACAGTATAGTGTCAGGGAAATTCAGTGTCAGAAGGTGCACACCATTGGTGTATGTTGTTAGCTCAAAATAGGAAATTTTAAAGTAATTCATACAAAACTTGTATGAATCTTTTTTCCTCTCGATCTAGCATCCGCTCGAATAAATTCCGCTCTAATCCACTTGAAGTGGCATCCGCTCGAATTGACTGTTTCCCGGTAGGCCTCTAATTATAACTGCATGTGCCTAGGAAGGAGGAGTAGACCAGACAAAGGCATTGTGTAGGTGTGGGTGTGTGTGTGTGTGTGTGTGTGTAATGTAATGTAGTTCGATTTATATAGCGTTTTATACTGGAGTCTCAAAGCATTGTGGACTAGATCTAGTCTTTCTTCTCCCCTAATTGTCTTCATGTCTGGACCACCCGGTGTAAATAGGTACCAGCTACTCTCGTCTACCACAACAGGGGCTTTATGGACCAGTACACTGGGGTAACCCTACTCATCTTGAAAGATGCACTTTGTTCTTTTAAGTGCACACTAGCCAAATTACACTGGGCCTATGGTTTATATTCCTTATCCGAGGAAGACTTCTTCCACCACCAGAACCACTGGAGGCCAGCGTCCCATTCAAACCAGCACTGATATTTTGGCAGCAGGTTGCGGCGCCCCTTCACTAACCGCTCAGCCATCCAACTCGCCTGTGTGGAATTTTTTCTTATTTAGCAAATAGCTTTGTCAAAAACATCAGATGGAGGAGAAAATAAAAAAAAATTGTATTGGTGAATGTCAACAGTAACGGAATGGTGAACGTTATAAAAATAAAGAACATTTTTCTTTTTGTTTTGGCAGCGGGTGCGCTAATTGGAGAAAAATATAATTATATTTTTATTCCAAATCATCATTATTGGCCGGTGAGAGGTGCACAAAACAAGGTATAAAAAAGTCTCTCCTAAATATAACCGAAACAAACAGTAGCCTAAGTCAAAGTCTAGGCTATTTTAATGCAGCTAATCAGATTTTTTTTAACCAATTACAGTGTTGCCTTATTGCAGTTTTGGTGATTTTGATTTTGACAACTTTTGAGGCAAACAGTCCTCTCTCCTGCTCTATCATGCCTAAGGGTCTGCAGTACTAGGCACAAAAATAAGTAGCCTTAAGTCTAAGCACCCTATGTTCACATATTTTGGTTGGAGTTTACAGGAAATCTTATTAGTATTGATATATTTTTTTTTCAGAACTACTGGATCAAATGGCAACTCTGAAGCGTGTACAAAATGTTGCTCTACTAGGAGGCGTTCATGGCAATGAGATGTCTGGTGTATTTGTAGCTCAAAAGTTTATGAAGGATCCTACTGACATCACAAGGAACTCATTTAAAACTACAGTTTTGATGGGAAATCCCAAAGCTGTTGAGAAGTGCACTAGATATATAGATGTGGACCTAAATCGTCAGTTCTCTAAAGAGAATTTAAAGTATGATTTTTCATTTAATTTAATTTATTTAAACCACAATTTAAATATTAATTGCCAAACTAAAACTACATAATTTTTTCTGCTTTGTCATTACATTCACACAGGGACAGTTAAATTAAATTTTGTAAATTCACTGTTCCCTGGTTCACCTTAGTTTTTGTTTACTGTTCTTGAACATTGTGCTTATGCTGTGTTCATTAGAACTTGTGAAAACTGATTTCACAACTTGTAACATGCGAGAACACAAGAAGATAAGAGTGCATTCATTTGAGGAATGCTAAAATTGCATTTTCTTTCTTATTTGGGATTTTTACAAGCGCCCTTACATGGATGTGCTCCTTGGCCTATGCTTGAATTAGGGCTCTGTAAAGTGCATTCAGAACGTTATACAGTGCAAATCATGATAAAACATTCAAAAAACACTTTTTTTTTTTAATCTGAAATAATATTACTTAAACAAATTGCAATAAATACATCTGCTCGTTGGTGTTACAGTACATCCGCCATTTTCCACACTACTTGTGCAAATCGAGGAAAAAAATTCTATTCGAGTTCACAACTTGTGTTTACAAGTTCACCGACCAGATGAATGCGTTTCACAAGTTGTAAACTGGGAAACACCGACTTCACAAGTTCTAATGAATGCAGCATTAGAGACCTTGTTTGTTTTCACCTTATAAGTCTACCTATTATTATTATTTTTCAGTGCTACAAATATTGATGCAAGTTACGAAGTCCAGAGAGCGAGAGAGATCTCTAATGCTTTATCGAAAGACTTTGGCAGTCCCGATGTTGTCTTGGACATGCACAATACAACAGCAAACATGGGAAACTGTTTTATAATTCAGGACAAGCAACAAGTCCTTTCCTTGCATTTGATTAACTACATTGTAAAGAAAGCTATTCATAAAGCTCCTGCACATATACTATGTGTAAGTAATCCAAAATATACATATAACTGCAGTAGATGTCTTGCACCAAATGGTATCGGTAAGTATAATAATAAGTAATTTAATGAAGCAAGCATAGCTGTGATAAACAACATATCATTCCATAATATTTTGTTTAATAATAATAATTATTATTATTTTCTCCACCAGGAGCTGGGTTCACTCTAACTTTCATTTTTGTTTAGCCAATTGGCTAAAGCTAAAAAAAAAAATTTAGCCAATTGGATATTTGTTTAGCCAAAATTGGCTAAAATGTTAAAAATTGTTTTAGCCACTTATCATGCACTTAAATGGATGGCCCGGGTGAAGTTTCATGCAAATGTTTCGTACGGAAAAAAAAAATCGTTCAAGCATTCAAGGAAAAACCCCCAAGCTCATAAGCCATTATTTACCCGACAGTCGGCTGCTTTAGTTCTGTTGTTGTGTGTGCACTGGGGCATTTGGGGCACGCTAACAGCTAGCCGACCGTCGTGAACATAGGAATTACAGTACTGCTTCGTATCTGCGCATAACCTCTAGTAATCTGCTCGTATGTTATGTTTTGAACGTAGCTACGAACCACTACGAAGGTCATTGTTATTTTAATTAGCTTTCCAAACCTCTTAGGCTGGATCGTCGGGCTGATAAACAATGCGTAAACAATATTGAAATATAGTTTACCAGCTTTCAGCATGTGAACAATGTTGCAATTTACTAAAATAGACAATGTTAGAACTTATTGTTTTGTTATTTCCTACCTTATTATTTGATCGATCATGTTTTAAAACTATGTTTAGTTCGATAGCTAGGTAACCTAGTGGGCCGTCAGTATGTTCAAATTTCGATGTCATTTAGGCCTACGGCCTACATTTTCCCATAGAGGAGGACAGCAGACTGTAATTTATTACTGGTTAACTTTCCAATTCGGAGAATTTTGATCTGATATTGTTCTGGTAGTAGGAACTTTCTTCTTTTAAATAATAATACTGATGACAAATTATGTACAAATTACTGTATTACGATTTCTACTTAAAGATCACGTTGTTTATTGTTTACCGTAACTTGAAGCAGAACCTGCTAAGCGATCCAATACAGTACTAATGAACTACAGAAATCAGCGTGACCACTCACAATTTTTGATATACCCAATGACTGGGTCGAAATTACCCAAGATTCAGCAAAAATTGTCCAAAATTACCCGAGCTTCCTGAAAATGCATTAAAACTTGAAAAATTTGTGTTTTTCGCATGTATAGTTCCCCTTTTATTTCAATTTATAAACCAATTTTTTATTGTAATTGTTTGTGTTAATTATTAAAATTATCATTCATGAGGTGATAATACGGATAGAAAAATACGCACTCAGTTGGCCAGTGTTATCAGTAAATCAGTGATCAATTTTTCTTATGTAATGCATTAATTAGGTAAGATCAATGGCAACGCAAATCACAAATAAACAATTCTGAACCCATGTTTATAACAATTAACAGTCAATTAACAATGTTATGTGCACTTCGTTGAGTTTTGCTTACTTGAATGGACTGACATATACTTTGTTACTTCTTAATTCTTCCTCTATGACAAAAATATTTAATTTTCTTAGTAAAAATAAAATACCCAAGGATTTGAACCGAATACCCAAGAACCCAAGACCAAGTACCCAGAAATCACTACTTTGCCGAAGTAAGGCTAGTCATGCTAGACTGCATTTTCTTCGTCTTTTACTCACTGTCGCTCACAGCTTTTCAACATTTGCCACGAGGTTAACCTTTAACACACTTTACTGTGTTCTGATTGGCGTGCACTCTGTCCGATGCTGGATTTTTGGGGTTGACAAGATGAACTGGCATTTTGCCAAGTTTTATTTTCCTTTGGGTTTTATGTGACATTCGGTAATTTTACAATTAACGGACGTTAACTCTCTCTATATTTATTATTTATCGTACTAAATAAAGGCTACAAAGTATTATTTGATGGACAATCTTTTCATGTGTGTGTATTGTCATTGAGGGCACCTTTTTTAACAGTTAAAGAGGTAAAATAATTGTAAATAAAAAAATAGGCTAGCCTAGGCCAGGCTAATTAATAAAAAAAAAAAAAATACAGCAGTACAAACAAGTTCCTGTCGACTCGTGGACAGCGAGACGAAGAGGAGACTCCTTTGAAGTCAATTGTACGTTTTTCTTATTGAAAAACAACTCCATACTTTAAATTAACGGTCTAAACTTGTGCTTGTCATTAACAAATTATCAAGCGATACATTGTTTATTCCAGTAAGCTACAGCAGTCTGTCTGCACATACAAATAAACAACATGCTTTTGCTTCGTAGGTTCGCTTCGCGTAGCTGGCCTTGCTTAGATTGTTTATATCAGGCTACGAAGCCTGTGCGCAGGTAAAAATGCAGTATTTTGTGTCGGTACTGTAGTCGTTACCATCCAGCCACTGATTGTTACGCTGCCCACTTTTAAAATAACAAAATAATTTGCGATGCACACAGTGACGTTTGTAGTCACACTAATAGAACAACACACATAAATGTCGCATGCCACTGGCAATGGAGTAGCGTAAAATGGAGATCTTGTCCTTGATCGTGCCGACGGAAAAATATTTCCATGGAGAGGTCGGACGAAAGAAACAATTGTTTTCAGCAAGTATTTTAAAAAAACATTTTCATTTTTAAGCTTTCGTCTAAATGGCTAAAGTAGTTGTTTTTTGTTTCGCCAATTCAAAATTGTTTTCGCCCATTGCGACTTGGCGATCGGTTAGTGTGAACCCAGAGGAACTTACAGTCATGTAAGTTTGTGTGTATGTGTGTGTCACATTTTCATGTTTTGTGTGTTGTGTTTGTGTTCAAAATATATCAAAAATGGCTGCACAGATATAAATGAAAATAACTGAAAGTGTTAGGTATGACCCAATTAAGAAATGATTAAGTGACGGTCCGGAGTAGGGTGTGGATGTAAAGACCAATTAAAGGGATTTAAAAGCAAACACTCTACACCAGATATTTCAAAAAACGTGTCAACTTATCTGAATGAAAGTTTCATGAAAGTATAACCTAATTACAAGGAAGAAATTATTTGGTGACGATCAAAATTCGGGTGTGAAATTTGAGGGTCATTTAAAGTTCTAAGATCCCAGACATAAATATCTCTGAAAATAGTCGATGAATCTAAATGACACTATCCAGATTAGTTTGTCATGTTTCGATGAAAAAATATTTAAATTTTGGTGACCATCTGGAGTAGGGTGTGGATATGAAGACCATTCACATGGAAATATCCCAGACCAGGTATTTCAAAAACTAAAAATTGATCAATAGATCAAAATGACACTTTCCAGAATAGCTTGTCATGTTTTAGTGAATTAGTGTTTAAATTTTGATCACGATCTGTAGGGTGTGGATATGAGGACCATTTATAAAATATGTTTACCGTACACCGTAGGCAGATATCAATAGATGATGAATATTCAAATTGCAATTACAGTAAATGTGTACAGCATTTTAATATACATACTAACTTCAGTTTTTGGGAACTGATTGGGAATATTTTTAATGCATCGTTATATTTAAACATGTGATGCTAAATTCCAATACCCCATATTTCTTAATAATTTGACTATTTCCATAATATTTCTATTTCAACACCCTTTGCATGTATTTTTTGGATCAACTAAAATTGTAAATTGTTCCAGTGTGTTTGACCAGAAGAAGTAAGGAATTGGCAGGTACAACAAATAAGGCATTTCCGGTTGGCCGGGTTAGTGTTATTTTTAAGTGGTGGTGGTGGTTGGAAAGTAAGTGGGTTGTCACATTTTTAAGTGTCAGTAGTTGAAATAAAATGTTTCGATACTATTATGGTGCTTGGTTCTGTGTTTAAAACATAATATGTGTGGTGAAAAGTAACTAATTTCGGATTACAAATTCTTAAAATGCTCACTCTAATAAAGAGTCCCCAAAAACCCAGAATAAAGTGGAACTATTGCCCCTCTTTAAAATAAAAAATGTTTGGGCAAGTATTATTATTGTACCAGTGGAGACACTGTCTGTATAAATAATAAGTGAATGAACTAGTATCCTCTTGAATTGGCATATACCTAATTTAGAATCTGTTGTAACTGGCATTTGTGGTTGAGCCTCTAGAGATAAGGACACAATGTGATTTATCTTGCAGGTCTGGAGCTAGGCCCACAACCTCAAGGGGTCTTACTTGCTGAATTGTTTCAAAGAATGCAAGAACTTGTAATTAATTCTATGGACTTCTTTGAGGCATTCAACTCAGGTTTGTATGATTAGTGTGAATTATTTCCAATTATTATTGTTACCAAGGCAATGAATGCTTTTCCTACACCTTGTGAATCTAAATAGTGTTTAGTCACCAGCTTCATTGGATCAGTGTCATACATAACATTGACAATTTAGTCAGAGTGATTGTTTTATCACATGACATGAATGTGATTAAATCGTCGCTTGCCTAATAATTATATTGTGTTAGTTCGTAAAAACAAAAAGTCACTTAAAAATAGGTTTGTATTGGTTGCCAAGCACTTTTGTATTCTTTACCACACAAATGTCTGTAACAATAACAGCACATATTTTAACGCTCTTATTTGTTTTCTAACACAATTTACTTCCATTTTGTTAGTTTGTTATATGATGGTCAAAATAGTAAATTCAATTGGCAATTGTTATATTGTTTATCATCAGTGGCAGATCCAGGAATCTGAGACAGGGGGTCCTGGGAGAAACTTTCACAGATGGTCAGTCTAGACCAACACAGCCCCACCACGGTTGTGGCTGAGGTAAAAAAAATTTATAATAAGGCCAATAAAAAAAAAATCCTTGTGTTGGCCACATTTTGGGAAAATTTTTTTTTTTTTTAAATTTTAAATTTTTAAAAAAAATTTTTACCAATAGTGTGTTTATGCCTAAAAAGTAGAAAATACTCAAAAATACAACAAAGACCATTTTTAAATCTCTATTGAAGAGCAAAATGATCGCATAACACTGTCGTGTTGCAAGAATAAACCTATTTCCTTTTCAGCTCATTAAATTTTGTTTTGATGTACAGTTGTAAAAAAAAATAAAATGCCAACTCTCTATCTCAAATATTGTGGGTCGGTTGGGCGTGGCCAACACAATAATTTTTTTTATTTGGCCTTATGGCACCTCTAGATGACCGGGAATTTTGAATTAAAATTGAATATAAATTTCTTTTTTTTTATTTTGGAAAATTTAGCACCCCCAACCCCCTTTAAATCTACCACTGATCATCATTAATTACAAGGTATACGGAAAGTAAAAGAAAGACTATTGCTAACAAAGAATATAGAAAGAAATTAAAAGCTTGTGTTCAAAAAAAAAGGAAATTAAATCAGTGGCGGATCCAGGAATTCAAAATAGAGGGGCCCAGGGTGGTCTTTCAGAGATAGAGGGTCTAGACCACCTCATCTGCATCATGGTTGGCGCTGAGTTAAAAAAATTTATGAATATTGCAATTCTAGATGGCCAGAAATGGCACTCTCAGGCCTAATTTTAATTATAATTTTCTTTTTCTTGGTTTTTGAATAAATATTTTTGAAAAATTTAAGCATTTCCTGGGCCTCCCTTGAATCCGCTACTATAAATTGAGATGTAAAAACTATAGGCATTCTTTGTATTTGTAAGCAGGAGAGTCAAGAATGTATTAACGAGCATGAGGTTGGCTTTTCCCCGACAGGTGGGCAGGGTTCACACTCACCTCAGCCCCATCATGTTTAATTTTGCCCCAGCTCCCCTGATGGCTGGGCCCAGCACTCCATACAGAACTTGCTTACTCTAAATTACTGCAAATAAGAGAAGAGAGCCAATGGCACACTTACAGTTAATTACTTAGTAACTTTCTTCGGCTAACCAGCTGACATTATTGGCCCATTTAAGATCCGACAACATCATGATCTTTAAGTTTACAGTATTGGTCCCACCAAGTGTCAAGCCATCCATGCGATGAAGAAACATTCCAGCGTTCTAAATCTGCTGATTGTAATGATCTGACACTTGGTAGGACTAAAAGAGAGATCACAGACTTAACAGAATGGAAAGTAAATATAATGATAAATATGAAAAATAAGAATGTAAATTTGCAGTCTTGAATGGCTGAGCTATCCCAGGCCCACCACCTGAATAGTTAGCCCGCCCTGGGATCACCTGTACATTGTACAACTTCAAGGTTCTGCGTGAGCACAACCTTAAGTACTGTAGCTCAAGGGAGAATCAAACTTAAGATTAAACAACTGATTTATTGACCCTCTGAACAGGGCAGTATTATTTTTGCAATTTGTTGTCGCTCGTCCTTCCACAAACATTGCTCTCTAAGGCACCATTTTTCACTTTCTAATAATCCTAGGTGCAACATCAGATTCATTTCAAGCAGATGTGTACAACATCATGGAGAAGGTTGATTTCCCACGGGATTCTGATGGCAATATAACAGCAATGATTCACCCACGGTTACAGGTATACATTTTAAATGTCAATTTATGTGATTACAAGAAAGTTATTGTTTTAAGATACACTAGCTCTTGATAATTAATCCACTGGGAGCATGCGGACCTGTTATTTGATGTGTGTCTATGTTGAATATACTAATAATACAAGTAATGTTATAGCAACAAAGTCTGATGGAATTCTCCAGCACTCTAGGAACACCTTCATACAACCTTGACAACATTCAAGATAAAGATAATGAAATTATTGAACAAATATATTATTATTGGTGTTATTATTTTTGTTTTGATTTTTTACCCTGTGCTTTTGTGTTTGGAACTTTTTCTAACTTGGTTCAAGCAAAGATATGCCAAAAAACATACATCTACATATTTTTTATATTTAATAAACTGGTAATTGAACTATTATAAAGACAATATGTTGCAATTTGCATTGAGCCTAAATGTTACAAGCTGTAAACTTGCATAAACAATCTTTTTACTCAATTTATAAAATTTAGTCAAGTTCGTTGTTAAAACAGAATAGAAACACACTTAAAATTGTTATGATTATTACCATTGCCTCTCCAAAGGAGAGGTGAAGGGTACTGCAATAACACGCATCTGTGTGTGTGTCCCTTCCAGACGCATATCTCAAAAAGTACAGGACCGATTTACAGTACATCAAATTTTCATATGTATCCTGGTCCTCAAATTTGGTGCTGATCATAAGTACGATGTGGATTTTAGAATGTGATTTTGTATATTTTCCCGCCGCAACAGACAGAACCAATTTCAGCGGATTGACCACGGGTCAATGTAGGGTGTGTGTCAAATCCTGGCCAGCATATCCTGGTCTTCATGCAAAATTGCCTGATTGATGGGCTTACCACTCAAGGCTTTGTTTGGCTAGGCGGAATCAACTCAACCGGGTCGACCGCAGGGCATTATTTAGTCAGTACATAGATATGTTGCAACAGGGCATATTATCTTGTTATTGTTATTATTAATTATTTATTTGTATTTTGTCCCATAGGACAAAGACTGGGAAGCCCTCAACCCTGGCGACCCGATTTTTCTTACTTTCAATGGCAAGACAATTGGTTACGATGGCAAGGAAACAATGTTCCCAGTATTTATCAACGAAGCCTCATATTATGAAAAACATCTCGCCTTTTGGCTTACGAAGAAGGAAACGTTTAACGTTCCAGCTATAAAAGTTCAGTAAAAAATCTGTTTTGTGCTTAACACAGTACTATTTTTCTATGAGATATATTTTTATTTTTCAAATCAAGTAATCTTCAATGAAAAAGTGTGTCAGCAGTGGGACTCAATCCTGCAACCTCTCTAACATAGCGAGCCCTATTGTAGGCCTAGCAGTCCCAAATACAACCAACCAACTGTATGAGGGCATTATATCAGTTGTTCCTTGCATGGATTTGACATTTTCCGTTTATAAACTATGCTCATAATGTCATTGCATATTTGTACCTTCATTCAAGCACTGCTTCCACCAATATTTGATTATATATATATATATATATATATATATATATATATATATAGTTTATTATATTTTAATTACTTTTAGCTTACATTTTAATTTACTGTAATTATCTCACAGCCATTGTAAACTCTTGGAGTATCAAAAGAAAGTTTGAAATTATATGAAAGTGAAGAATTTCTGTTATCTAAATTTCAATCTGTAAAAAATAAGATTTAGTAATAATATAATAACTTTGCCACCTTGTATCTGTAGCACAGTACCAAAATCTTAAAAAATTGATGTGGGTATGCAGTGAGTTTGTGGGGCAAGATTTATTATGCTGGTGTCACAGAAACATTAGGCCCAGGCTCATCTTTAATCCATACTGAATTTGGTCCCAGGGACTGAATGACTATTGGCTAGAACATGTGTGTATATAGGACTATACATTGGTGCCCCATGTTTTAATAAATATTCAGAAGAGAAAACACAAATATATTGAATATTTTCAAATGGCAGACCCAGGAATTTGAAATAAAGGGGAAGAAGGGGAAGGGATTTTCACAAATGGAGAGTCCAACTCAGCCCCACCATGGTTGGAGTTGAGGTAACATTTATGATTATGGCACCTCTAGATGGCCGGAAATGGCACTCTCAGACCTGAATTTGATTAATATATATTTTTTTTTCTCTTTTATAGATTTAGAAAAATTTAAGTGGGGTGGGGAGGGGGGACAGGCCGATGCAAAACTTGTTAAATCTTTGATGGTGAAAGTTTATCATCAAACATCATAATGATTGGTAAATTTTGCACCACACTACATACTACTGCTTTTATAATAATACTGTAGGCCATAATAATACTGTAGACCTAATGGATGACAGTTAGAAAGGGTACCGTCTCTTTGAGCCACATAATATGGTGATGGCGGAGTAAAGAAATCTGGGGACTGTTGACAGAGTTATCATCTATACTTGTAGGCTTAAGTAACTAATTAATGGTCGTGAAAATAAAAGCATTAATTATTATTGCATCCTTGATTGATGCAAATATTTCACAGTAAGATATCTAAGCATAAATTTATTAATCGAAGACTATTAATGTCAGATGTTGCATAAATACAGCCAACAGAAGGCTGAAGAGCAGACCAAATATACGAGTTAGTCTAATCAAAAGTTTAAGTGGTTGCCTACCAATACTGCCTTGTGACTCTAGGATTTTGTTTATGTTTAAAACAACCCATCATTTCTAATTGTCGAGTGGAATAAAATTTAAATAAATAGAATCGTTTCCCTGTAATTAATAGTGATAATAGTACTGTGTCACTAGGCATATCCTTAATCGCATTCAATTTGTTATACAAGTATTCATTAATTCATACTTTATACTGTTTTTCTAAAATTTTCAAACTGTGAAAATAAAGCATGAACAATTGTATCAAATAACAAACTTTCGCTACTGCCAGACGACGAAGACCTTTTTATAATAATCTTCTTATTATCTCATGAGTCTCATCTAAGTGTAATTGCTTACCTGGATAAGACTCAAGTCCTCGGGGACAATCCTGTCTTGTGTATCATCAATTTCATCACCGGTAATAACATCGAGTGTTGTAAATGCAAATTTTTTCAAAATTTATTGAAACTCGCAAGTACTTTTGACTACAATAAAGTATGTAGTGGTATTTAATATTACAACATACATACATTCAGGCTCTCAACGTTAAGGTCGGGGATTCCAATCTTTGCCGTGCATTTTTACGTTTACATTTAAAGGCTGAGAGGGCGGGGTGCATGCGGGGTGGGGGCATGCGATGATAATTATTCAGATTAAGATTCAATGGAAAAATGGAAATAGCAGCAGTTCAAGTCATTAAAATGTTATACGTCATGTGTCTTCGTTATTCATTTTAATACTGGGAACATACATAATCTATATAATATATACATTGTTAATAATGTTTTCATTCGTAAGCTCAATGTGATAATGTTGTTTGCATCTGTGAGTATCGTATTGAATGTTAATTCTTTATTTAAAGCGGTCTAAATTTCCTCGCATTAAGGAATATGCCTTTAGTAACTAACGGTAAGTCTCTTAATGAGGCCTTGGTGTTTTATTAACGTCATCTTTATTTTGATCAGACAATTCTTTGAAAATTTAGACTAAAATTGTAATTAAAATAATAATTATGATTTGGATTAATACAGTAACGTATAAACATGACTGAAAGTTTCTTCGCAAAGTTATTGATAAAATGTTGTTATTTCGCAAAGCAAAGATAAAATGAATTTTCTAGTGAAACCACACAAACAATCTATAAAAAGTAATGGCCACTTAACAGGCTTGAGAACACGCAGAATATTGAAAAGAAATTACTTTAGTGCAATTGCAATTAAGTGTATACATAGCTAGGCCATCTTATGCATTCAAATTTCTGAAAACAGCTACAAATTCTGTAAACCACATAACTAGGAAACAACCACCCTTATTCTCCAATAAAACAGTATAGTCTAATTCAATATGTATAGCTGTCTCGTTCTTAGGTTCACAACAGCAGCAATACAAAATGTAAGTGCATTGAAATTAAACATTGTTAAAATCTATAGAAAAACAAATTATAAAAAGTGCATTAAAGAGAACAAACATGAATCACTGATATTAATCCGATCACTAATTATTAAATACAAGAGTATACTGTCTGCATTACTAATAATTTTAATTCAACTATGACCTCATCCTAGCTTTCTGAAACTATGTTTATGGAGAAGTAGATAATTATACTGAAATATTCGATTTTTGATCATTTTTACAGCGCCATCTGGAATTTCAAAATAGCTGCCAGTTGCCAGTCTTATTGACTCAACATATACAAAGATAACATATAACACCAGATTTACCCTTTTTTTTAATTGAATATAACTAAACTTATGAACCAATATCTGAATTTTGGCGACCATTTTAAAATGGCCGCCAAAAAACCGTGTTCCGCCGCTTCTGGATTTAAAAAATGTATATTTTTCCCCCCCCCTTTCCCCCGAAGCACTAGGACTACATTGAACGCTGTCCAGACCCCCAAATTGTATTTGACAAAAACATGTGGCATGCCTAAAACGTGGTCATGATGACATCACGTCATGAGCATATATAGCCAAATCATGACTATATACCGGTATGGACATACAGCGTAAAGAAAATTTGATAGAGTGGACAGAGCTATGTAGCACACTCTCACCTTTGACATTGTTACCAGTTATAGACATCCACCCACCTGATTAGTGCAGTAGCCAGCTTTGCTTGCGAAAACAAATTTGTTGGAGGAATAAGAGTATGAAGTAAACAAATTTACATTTGTTTTGTTAATTACGGCATTTAGCTCTACTTCGGTAACACCAGTATCCAGTAGTATTCATCTTATGCAGCGAACACGTGAGCCTGCGAGACACTATAATATTGATAATGAAAAATAATTTTTCAGCGTCAAACCTCCACTCGAAAAATCCGTTTTAAGGGCCTAAATTTATCATGACGTCACATCGTGTGACGGCCGCTTTAAATGTTGCCGTCAAAACACTATTGTTGAATAAATTCTCTTATTAAGCAGTGTTATATCACTGAAGTAGAATTTTGCAGTGGTGAGCGAAAGACGCGAGTTCACAGTCCGGGCGTGAACTTTTCTTTGATGACTACATCAATGACCATTGCTTTTTAGTCTGTGACGAACAGTTTTTTATCGTATTATGTTACTTTACCGTCACCAACATTACAACTACCACCACCACCACCGCCAATAATCATCATTTGAAATTGTTGGGTCGGTGGGCAATTATAGGATGGGTACATTATTCAGATAACATTTAACTTTTGCCTATTCTCGGTAGCCCCTACTGACTTAATCATCTTCGTTTTATTAATAAATATGTGTGTACATTAAGTTACCTTGTAGCAACCATTGATTTTAATTATCAACCAAGCATCATCATTATAAATCTGTGCACGTATGCCAATGCATTATTTTTTAATTACAGTTCTACAGGATCATAAGGTATACACGATATAGGCCTATATCATGATTTAAAGTCGCAAATCGCAACGGAATACGATTGACGGAAGAAAAATCCGTCTGTGAGGCGGATTAACATGTAACGGAGGCGATCGCGTGTCTACGTCATAATACAGATAGTCCGCATCCATTCGTCTATAAATCCGACGCGCCTCCTGGCAAATCAATGCCAGACTCCGATGACGTAAATCGTGAGATAACTTATTTCATAATGGCTTGAAAGATGCGGCCATCATAACCTGTAGCATGTCCACGTCACTCGTCAGATATTAATATCAATCGACACAATGCACATCGAGTAATCGCCTTGGGCTAGACATCAAAGGGCTCTAGTTTTCGAGTTTCATAATACACCTCGGGGTAGTTCCTGTTTTTGTTTTAGTCAACATTACTGGGATGAAACTAAATATATTTGTTCCAACATTTCCGATTCTTGCAAATTATAACGAAAAAATGCAAAAAACAGTAATAATATATTTTTTTGGTTGCTATGTACATTTTGCCTTGTATCGGTGCATTTAACCCAATATTACAGTACTATCATGAAAGCCCATTTTTGTTTCATAAATTTACACTTTAAGAAGATGAACACATCTAAATTATATGTTGGCCTAGAAAATGGATTTAATGAACATCGAATATTTACAAAATAGTCCAAAGGACTGTCCTGACGCTTTTCTTAGTCTGTCTTTTTTATAGTTCGATGTT